CCATAGCAATGAGGATGCACTTATAGTATAAATATGAATAAGTTAGGTATACATGAATATTGCATTTAAAAAAAAAACCAATGGGGGTTTGTGGGATTTACTGTTACTGTTGCAATGATTATTGCTCCTCATAAAGGCCAATGCAGAGAGAGTGGGCTATGCAATAAACACAATGATTTCTGACTGCAGGGAACGTGGTCGTGTGATGGTTAGCACTGTTGCCTCACAGGAAGAGAGTTTAAGGTTTGTACCCGCTGGCGACTGGGGTTTTTTCTGTGTGGTATTTGTATGTTTTTGCTGTACCTCCGTGGGTTCTCTCTAAAGTCCAAAGACATGCCTGTTAGGTTAGCTAACTATAGATGCGAACTCTTATCCTTGAATTGTGAGACAGATGATTTGCTGTAGCGACCCCTAAAGGGAGCAGCTGAGTCTGAATTATTGTTTCTCTGTGTTAGACTTGTGATAGACTGGGAACTTTCCAGGAAGTACCCCACTTCTTACCGTATGACAACTGGAATAGGCTTCAGCACACCTGCAACCCTAAGTTGGATAAGGGATCATGTTAGCATTGCTGTCATGCTAACATGTTTAGCATGTTTAGATGCCATGGTAACATGTGTAGCATGGTAGCATCCTCCTTAACATGAGGACGCTAGGATCCATGAAGGGACAGCTAGTATGAAACAGTTTGTTTTTCTCACAGAAGTATTGTATGCAAGTATCTCCATCTCTTTTCTGAAACAGTCTAATTACCAGCTGGAGCTGTTTTTTTCAGACATGTGTGCCTTTCAGTCTCCTTCAGATTAAAGAAGCCACGCTGTTCGGCAGGGGTTGCCATAATAAATAACAGACAGACCAAAAATCGCTTGGAAGAGTTCAACACTAGGTGGCTAAGATTTGTGTCAGGTTAACTTCTTAAAATATTTGTAGAAGCATACTCACAGAGCAAATGATTCCCTTATGTTTTGAAATATATCCAGTTTATGTGTCAAATATAGTAAACCCCCCAACTACAATTAGATAAGTGAAGAAAATTAATAAAGCATCGTGTGAAAACATGCACACAGTATCTCTAAGCATACCTGTAATTATGTAATTAAAGTGAGTTATTTCACTTTGTAATAACACCACCATAGCTATCGAGTGAGTGGCTAACCTAAAAAAATAGTAAATAAAAAAAGAAAACTGTGATCATTTTGATTGAGCTTATTTTTCCGGAAAAGTTGAAGCAAAGTATTCGCACCTGTGTCGGTGTAAATATTCTGAGATTTTGAACATTTGCCAAAACACATTTTTAGTTGTTAAGTACAACTGCTTGCCCCCCGCTTGCCACTCTGTTATCAGTTGCTGAATAAAGAGAGGAAGGGAATTTCAATCCCAAATGCCTTTGATGTACTTTGAAGTATTATAGCTTGGAAGTGTGTCTGTATGTGTGTGTGAGTTTCCACATTTAGATGTGTGTCTCGTTGCCTGAGCACATTATGATTGTGTCTGAATGAATGACTCCCCTGCAGTTGACTAGCATATGGATCCCATGTGGACTGATATGTGAGAGTGTCTGCATCTGTGTCCTGTCCACTGGGAAAACCCGCTGAGCCCCGAGTGGCTTTGTGTCCACCATACAGGAAAGAAGACTATCATGTGGACAAACACAACAGCACATGTCCATAAAGGATAATACTTTTTTTTCACCTTCTTGTATTTTTAAAACAAATCGTTTCTCTTCTTTGTTTCTCACTGTCTTCATTTCTCTCTACTTCATTGCCATTTTCATACAACTTTCCCAGGCATGGTCAGTAGTGGCAGTAAGTAATGGCAGTGATGTCCAAGCCTTTCCCATGCAGCTTCATAGGAGGGTCTTTGTTCACCCTCCGGGCTTTGGGGGTCCCCACAGCAGGGCTGTGCCCCTCTCCACTGACTTCACAATGGATCTTTATGCTGCCAAGGCTTCCCTCGCCATGATCACTACACCATGCTTCCCTCATCAGGGGCACTCCAAGGCACAGGGGGCACCACGGCACCAAAATGGCAACCCTTTTCATGCCCTGTCCTGCCCTCCTTTCACTGTAATACATGCCAACTGCGTCAGATACAGTGAAAGAGGCTAGCTGAATAGCCACTGGCCAAGCTGAACAGTTTATGAGTTGTGCCAAATGTCTCAGTAGGGTACTGTTTTCTTATTCAAACCAAGAACACTTGACACCATAAGGAAAGACCTGGCACCCACCAGGGAGTGTGTGACAACAAACTATTATAACCCATTACCGTTGCTGAAAAATCTATAGTCTTCATAGTAGTAGTAGTAAAATGACACGCACACACTGTCAGTAAATACAAACAAGGATCACAACCACATTAGTTAGACTCTCTTGTATAGGGAGTGCAGAATTATTAGGCAAGTTGTATTTTTGAGGAATAATTTTATTATTGAACAACAACCATGTTCTCAATGAACCCAAAAAACTCATTAATATCAAAGCTGAATGTTTTTGGAAGTAGTTTTTAGTTTGTTTTTAGTTTGAGCTATTTTAGGGGGATATCTGTGTGTGCAGGTGACTATTACTGTGCATAATTATTAGGCAACTTAACAAAAAACAAATATATACCCATTTCAATTATTTGTTTTTACCAGTGAAACCAATATAACATCTCCACATCCACAAATATACATTTCTGACATTCAAAAACAAAACAAAAACAAATCAGCGACCAATATAGCCACCTTTCTTTGCAAGGACACTCTAAAGCCTGCCATCCATGGATTCTGTCAGTGTTTTGATCTGTTCACCATCAACATTGCGTGCAGCAGCAACCACAGCCTCCCAGACACTGTTCAGAGAGGTGTACTGTTTTCCCTCCTTGTAAATCTCACATTTGATGATGGACCACAGGTTCTCAATGGGGTTCAGATCAGGTGAACAAGGAGGCCATGTCATTAGTTTTTCTTCTTTTATACCCTTTCTTGCCAGCCACGCTGTGGAGTATGTGGACGCATGTGATGGAAGGATGCAGACTTCTTCCTGTACCACTGCTTGAAGAAGGTGTCTTCCAGAAACTGGCAGTAGGACTGGGAGTTGAGCTTGACTCCATCCTCAACCCGAAAAGGCCCCACAAGCTCATCTTTGATGATACCAGCCCAAACCAGTACTCCACCTCCACCTTGCTGGCGTCTGAGTCGGACTGGAGCTCTCTGCCCTTTACCAATCCAGCCACGGGCCCATCCATCTGGCCCATCAAGACTCACTCTCATTTCATCAGTCCATAAAACCTTAGAAAAACCAGTCTTGAGATATTTCTTGGCCCAGTCTTGACGTTTCAGCTTGTGTGTCTTGTTCAGTGGTGGTCGTCTTTCAGCCTTTCTTACCTTGGCCATGTCTCTGAGTATTGCACACCTTGTGCTTTTGGGCACTCCAGTGATGTTGCAGCTCTGAAATATGGCCAAACTGGTGGCAAGTGGCATCTTGGCAGCTGCACGCTTGACTTTTCTCAGTTCATGGGCAGTTATTTTGCGCCTTGGTTTTTCCACACGCTTCTAGCGACTCTGTTGACTAATTTGAATGAAACACTTGATTGGTTGATGATCACGCTTCAGAAGCTTTGCAATTTTGAGACTGCTGCATCCCTCTGCAAGATATCTCACTATTTTTGACTTTTCTGAGCCTGTCAAGTCCTTCTTTTGACCCATTTTGCCAAAGGAAAGGAAGTTGCCTAATAATTATGCACACCTGATATAGGGTGTTGATTTCATTAGACCACACCCCTTCTCATTACAGAGATGCACATCACCTAATATGCTTAATTGGTAGTAGGCTTTTGAGCCTACAGCTTGGAGTAAGACAACATGCATGAAGAGGAAGATGTGGACAAAATGCTCATTTGCCTAATAATTCTGCACTCCCTGTATAGGAGTTGAATTATGGATGGCGTGCACAGTTTTTGCTTTCTCGTGTATATCTGATCACAAGCATGTGGCACACACTTTGGCTTCTTAGAGAAGAGAAGAGAAGAGAAGAGAAGAGAAGAGAAGAGAAGAGAAGAGAAGGGAAGAGAAGAGAAGAGAAGAGAAGAGAAGAGAAGAGAAGAGAAGAAGAGATCCAAATAAAAACAAATAAGATTTGAAAGTACAGCTAACTTCAATGAAGAGTTTTATCAAAATACTGCTATCCAACGAGGATAATAAAAAGGTTCTTCTTAGAATGTGAGTCATCTATTCCTGCACAAGATGTTATTCCATGTACTCGTGTCCATGTTCCATGTACTAGAAAATAATGCATACCTCAATCTGGGCCAAAAGATCTGATAAGCACTCATGGGGGAAGCCATCATTTGGTCCTCTGTTTTTCACTGTCAAAGCTAATACTCCCATAACAGAGCACTAAGTTGAAATGCCAAGGGGGGCCAGTTTAAGGCCACCACAGTAGAAGCAGCACATAATCTTGTCATAATTGTGGACCAAGCTTTCACAGCTTTTAAGAATCAGATCCAGCAGGGGGAATCATTTACAGACTCGCATTGGCTCTGTTATCTGTATCATTTGTCTGTTCTTCTTATGCTGATGGAGTAATGCATAACCACACACAGTACTTAACCATGAACAGGAAAAGGGTTTTAGGGCCACACCTATAAATCAGCAAAAAATAAATATCTCTTAAACTATTGGAAAGAGAGAAAGGCATAGTTAACAACTCATAAAATGACTCCAGCACAAAGGAAAGGAGCGCCTTCCAACCATTTGTGCTGCCTGCATTTATTCAGTGCAGAGACTGATTTAATGACTTACTTATTTCCACAGTGATTAGCGTGAGCCAGCCACGCTGACTCATAACATTATTCCACACAAGCGCACAAACTTAAACACAGAGGTCACTTTCTGTCAAATCTCAGGCAAGGTATTACATCTCTGTTTGAAATAACACCAACAAGCCTGCATCCATGCAATACTGCAATGTCGTTTTGCAAAAAAGAAAGCTCTTATCTCTAACGCAACACATTTCTCTTACCTTTTCACCACTCCATCTCTGCTCCAGCAAGTGGACTCATCATTCGCCACTTCGCATAGAAGCTCTGGTAACATGCCAAAGAAGGACTTATAGCGATCTAGGGTATTCAAAAAATACCTGGGGAAAAAACCACAAGTATAATTTTTATACAGACGTATATCTTCCTCTTCACAATCAGTACACTTAAAATTGAAAGTTTAAAATTGAGAATTGCACCGTGCAATTGTACCATTAGTGGTCACATTTTTGGGGCAGCTGGTGGTGAGGCACTGTGTTTCCGTACAATGACACTAATAACCAGTGTTGGGTAGTAACGGAACACATGTACCGCCGTTACGTACTTAAAATACAAAATATGAGTAACTGTATTCCGTTACAGTTACCGTTTAAAAAGGTGGCATTCAGAATACAGTTACTTTGCTGAAATAAAGGGATTACACGGCGGTCTTCTCCTGTTTCATATGTTAGGCTATGCCATCTCTATTTTTGGTAATTCCACGCCGGTGGAAACCCAAACAAAACACGCATTAAGAGGCTCAAATGCCTGTGTCTCAATCTCGCCTCTCATAATGACGTAAAGAAATATTTTTAAAAATTATTTAATATGAAGGCTATAGGCAGAGTGTTACAGGCATAGCCCTAAAGAATGTAGCCTCATGGGCAGTGTAGTCCGTGCTGTAGGGAGAATGGACTGCCATAACCGTTATGTGTCTGTGAGCGCGAGGGAGGGAGAAAAAGTGGAAAAGTACGAGCTGTCAACGAGCAGAAACGGGAGCTGGAAGCATGTAAATATAATAATAACCACTGCAGCCAAGAAGAGTGCCTGACGAGCCCAGTTTTAAGTAACCTATTAAGACTCGACTGTACACTGTGTTCGTGTTTTCCCCCGAAACAATAAGTTTCGCTGGAGCAGCCTTTCAACGCCTCTCTCTGTCTCTCACTAGCAAACTTGACCCAGACAACAAAGTAAAGCTAGTTTTCGGCTACGAGCCCGACACAGAACCGACGCATTAGCCAGAGGTCACTTTACTACGGTTCGGAGCCGTGGACCTGTTTTATATACGCGCCGAATAATTTTCTATACGAGATGACTGCAAAAAGTGCAGCCTTACCTAATGTCCACCTACTGTTACTCATTTTATATTAAGATTTAAAAATCTAGTTGGTATTATGGCGAGTAACCTTCAGTAATAGTAATAAATCACACAGCAATAGTACATTCATGTAGTTGTAAAAAAGCATGATAATATATTAAGTAATCCAAGTATTCAGAATACGTTACTCTCATTGAGTAACGTAACGGAATATGTTACAAAATACATTTTGGGTCATGTATTCTGTAATCTGTAGTGGAATACATTTTAAAAGTAACCTTCCCAACACTGCTAATAACAAGCATGAAAGCATGACCTGCACCCATGTGATGATACTGATGGTGGCAGGAAATGAATGGCTTTGAATGTGACCACTTCACTGCATCAGCACATTTTTCTCAATGATGCTGTGTGGTAATTTCTTAGCTTCCCAGAAATGCTAACAGATGCTATCAATAAAGACACTGTCATCATGAACAAAACAATGGCATGATATTTTGATCGGACACACATTGCCGCCACCCGTGAGAAAGAGGCTTAAAAACACATGGGGTCATATAGGGTAATGTGTTGAGTCCATTAATAAAACCGCTGTTTGTAAGACATGCAATATGCACCCATCTCCCAAAACACAAAGTTAATCACCTGTTAGCAGTATCTGAACAATCTATACTAGCACAATACTGTACCACCTTCCATTTCTAAAAGAAAAAAGTGTGTCTCTTGGGTTCATGCTTACCTAGAGAGGATTTCCAGATTTTGTTTATTTTTCTTGAAATGTTTCGGAGGGAATGAACTGGGAATGATGGGAGTTGGAGTCCCGGTGAGATTGTTGCAAGCAAGGAGGATGCAGGGAGGTGAAATGGGGATTGAGGGAAAGAAAAAAGGGAAAAAAAGGGTGACATGACAGGAAACACGGGGAAGAGGGAGAAAAGACAGTCATTTGACCCTGGAAGAGAGTGATTAATCATGCACATGCAGACACTGAGTATACCACATATAAATCGAAACCTATTTTTCCCCACACCACATCAAAATTGAGACAGTAAATGGAATGAATTTGTCAAGTCAGTAAACAAATGCATGCAAACATATGCACATGTGCAAAGATTTAAATATATAATAAATATAAATGTTGTTTTACTCTATCATGTTTCATATTTTTCAGCTGTACACGAGTCTCCCTTTACTGCGCTTGGTGCTGCCGTGCCTCTGATGTGGTCAGCACTCACATGTGCGCTGGTCAGTGTTGGCAGCAAGCAGTGAGCTGGATTGTGTTGCCATGAATGGTGGTGCTAGTGCCAGGCCAGACCTGTCAGCTAGGCTGGCATCACTGCAGTGATTCATGGTAGACAACACTGCAAGAGGGTGTCTGTGTGTGTGTTTTTGTGAGTGCTGCTATGTAATCGAGGCCGGCTAGTGTGCAGAGTTGGTGGTATGGCTGTCTGGGTAAACAGGAAATTGTTGGTCCGTCAACATTAATCTTACCCACACTTCACCTCACTACCAGCTGCTGTGGGCACAGGATGGTTGCCTCAGACTGGGCCAGGTGGAGGGCATGGACTGTGCAAACCCCTTTCAAAAAAGCTGGACCAGGCACTACATTTACAGTGTGTGGTTGTGAATTGTATCCAACTAGCCATTTGAAGAAAGCAAAAAGTGACAGCTGTGAATAGACACTGGCCAACCCCTTAGGTCGTGTCATATAGGCCTAGTCAATTTTTATTTAAGTGGAGTTTACATTCCATCTAGTAGTGTAGCTAAGTAACAAGAAAAAACATTGACTGTAAAAAATGAAGAGCCAGTAGTAAAGTTTGGAATCTAACTAAAGGATTGAATGTTTGTAGCTTTGCCTTACCTTTTTAAGTGACCTAACTGCCCCTGCAACTCCTCTAATGAAGGATGGGAGGAAGGGGAAGATGGAAAAGGAGAAGATAAGGTCAGTGTCGAGGCTTTGACCTCAGGTCTAGTAGGATGCATGTGTGTGGCTTCCCCTGTAGACAGGTCACACACCTTGTCCACCTGTGGGGAGGACAGATAACAAACACCTGTTAAGAAAGAAATCTTATAAAACTATGGGAGAAACAGCAGTGAGGCTTCGAAACCACCCACTGACACCTATACAACTCTGAGAACTTACTTGCAATTAAAGTAATACCTTTCATCGCACTCATACAATCACCGCTTTAAATGAAGGACAGCTATATTAAAGTGAATGATAACAGAGGGAAGAAAGGTGAAAAGAACTATGGAACAGCCAAGTTCAGAGTAATGGAGAGCATGGGAAAGGAGTGGCCATGAAGTGAGGGATGCGATGAAAGAAACAGTTTGATGAGTGAGTTACTGCCAGGAGGTCTGACAGTAAATGCCGACTATTCCACTACTTCATGGAGGTGAATGCATGTGTGCAGACTTGGAAACATTGGCAAGTATTCCCAGCGGGCTATTAAAGCCAGCGGCAGAGAGGAGGAGACAGCAGGGTCATGAATAAAGGGGCGTGTGCCGCAAAAACGATAGATAAAATCAATGACATCTCATTGGCTTAAAAGCCTCTAGGCAGCGTTATTAAGTGAGCCTCAATTAGCCAGAGAGACCGACTGTAATGGTTGGTGCAAGCTGAACTAAACAATTCCTTACAGTGATCAGTGCGTATATTGCTTTGACTAGAAAGATGAGTCACTCTACCGTGTAAGGACATCCAAAAAGGACTACGTAATATTTAGCCTTACAGTAAGAAACAGCGGAAGAGAGTCAGTGACCACCTCATTCTTGGTAAACAAGGTAATTTGAATTTACAGTAAAGAAGATTTAGACTTTAGAATCTTAGAGAAGCAAATCCATCCTGGCGACATGTGTGTTTAAATTTTTGCTTGAAGGGGTGTGTCCACATGCTGGGAAGAGTTTGGATTAGTTTTGAAGCAGCTGAAATATGTTAACAGTAACAAAATGTGTCTCGCAGTTGCACTAAAAATATTCTTTTCCCTCCACAGTGAGGCAGATGTGTCAGCTCATGTGCTGTTTAAATGAAAGCTTTCACATACCAACCATGCAATAGGCCCATCAGTAGCAGAGGACTCAACAATGACATCCCAATAAGTATCTGATTTTTTTTTCTTTTTCACTAAAAACCTTCTACTTTATCCATAGTTTATTTCTTTACTGCATTCTCGTGTCAAATCCTCTTTTAAGGCATACGCTGGGCACGCGGAAGGTGGTTTTACTGCATTAACCTTAACTCCCTTTGGACCCATAAAACACGCTCACATGTGGTGGACGGCCTCAACCACACAAGAGAATGGCCGCACATATGCATGCAAACACGACACACACATGCACTACATTGCGGCGGTGAGAAAAGATAGACCATAGCAACTGTTTTGACCATGTAGCCTGTCAGCACTCTGAGCTAAATGCTGTTTGCATGCGCAGCAATGCTTCTGTGGACAGTCATTGTTCATCTCGTGTGCACACGCTCACAGTGTGTTTAGAAATGTATTAGAACACAGATTTGAACATTTCAAAATAAAGCCTGACAAATGAGATTATTTGATTGCTCTGACCAAAAACACAGTTAATTCTAGGAATTACTACTGTTATAAATGTCACGACAGTTACTTGGCCAATGCAAGAGCTCCTGCTGAATTAAACAATGTGCCTCTTTCTCATTTAGCAAAATAAATACAGAAATGAATAAAGGAATAATAATCTATAAATCCAATTCCAGAGATTCATTACAACATAAAATCTTATGACATCATGTCCAGACTGTAGAGTTTGGGAGGTCTACTGCACTGTGCATATGGAAGTGTGTGTGTGTCTGTGTGCGAAACTGGGGAAGCTGGCAAGCCTTTGCAACAGCCATGTAAGCAAATGGTGGAGCAGAATAGTCTGTAAAAAAGTTACAGGTTTTGCTTAAGAAAATAATGTAGTTATGATGCATTAGTTGGATGTTTAATGCTCATTTTTATTATTTGAATTTTTTGTTAGGTTAATGTAACCTTGTTATGACTGGCTAGGAAGAAAACTATTCTGGGTAAAAATAATAATAATACAGGGGAAAAAACCACTACATACCATGAAGGAGTCGCCATAACAGAAATAATAAGCACAAAGTGAGTGATAAAAAAGAGACAAAAGGGGCCTTTCTGACTGCTCAGGACCTCAGAAAATACACTGCATATATATATATATATATATATATATATATATATATATATATATATATATATATATATATATATATATATATATATATATATATATATATATATATAAATGAGCTGAAACTTATTAACAGGACATTTTTTTATTAATACTTCTATTAGGAAACTCTCTCAAAAGTTTTTTTCTTTAATCGCATGAGACCAAATGTGCTAAATAAAGTTCAGTGTGTGACAAATGAGGGCAGTGCTACAGGTTATCACAACTCTGCAGTGGTGAGAAATTAAGATAGGGTGTAATCCTGTCATTGTGAACTTTTCAAAGTGCCATTTCTCATCTGCGTTTCTCAACATTGCGCTATTCTTTCAGACAAAAATGTAAACATCTGAGTAAAATATGAACATCAAGAGGGGGTCACTCTCAGTTTTGTTTGCATTGCCCCATTTTTTTTGCATTACCACACCACAGAGAAGAGGTTCAAATGTTATACTTTTTGAAGAGGTCCAAAAGAAAGACCTACATTTCAAAACAATAACACTAACACAAATCATTTTTATGCCTAACTAAACATACAGTGTAAACTGAACACAAAGTGACTGTCAGGAAAAATAAACAGGATCCTCTTAAGGATACTCTTGAGAAATACAGACATGCTCTTATAGATTGGCTCTGATAACCACATAATCCTGAAAGCCAATCAGATGACAGGCTGAATAATGACATGAGCTAAAACACGGCCATAAATCAATTATCTCATGACCTGATGATGGCGTGAGAATGGAAATCCCATTTGGGCCCAGCGTGAGTTTTTGGTTTTGAGTGTGTATGTGTGTGTGACCACCTGCTTGCCCTTGTTATACCTTCACAATTTCAGCTATTTTACAGAGCATTCCTTATATGATTGCCTGAGGACAGAGACTGATGGAGGGGGCAGATTGATGGGATGGATCTTCTCCACGTGGAAGACTTTAGGGAAATACAAGGCATGTATTCTATGTGCATTTGAGCTACCCAGTGAAATTTGATTTCTACTGCTGCAGGGAGGGTGGATTAGTGTTTTTACAACTACACTGCATGTGTAAAGTATGTTTTACAGGTGTGGATTTACAGTTTTGCATATCAACACAGTTGCACATAACCCCTTTCCAAAGTGGATAAATTTATTTTATTTTTTTTAAAATCTCACAAAGGTCTAAGATATGATCTATTTTCATGTTTTCTATGTTGTTCCAACTTTATGAAGAACTGTGCATTACTTAAATATCTTCCTAAAGTAAGAGAGTGAAAAACAGAGAACAGCAAGATAATCACTTCCAAGCTAGCCAAGCCCATTGCCATCACTTCTCTAGGGGAGTATTAGCTTACAGATAGCAGTGGTGGTCTTTCCTCCCAGTTTATTTATCAAGGGATTATCCAGTAAAGCCTGGAGAACTTTCTCAGCCCCCCTGACCCCAAGCACAACACATTGTGAGATGAGCATTAGCTTGTCTGTTCAGTGAAGACCCTCTTCTTCCGATGGGGTATGTGCTAAATGTGCATATAAACAATCACATGTCATTGCCTAATGCTACCAACTGTTTCTCTAGGAATCATACCATATTTGCAAGCGGCGCCAAAGTCATCGTCAGTTAAATGCCCTTTCTAGGTGAGCTCAGAACTTCATATAAAATATTTCCTTTTCATGGCTCTGATGGTAGATGAGAGAATTGAAAAAAATAAAAATAAAGAAATTTTAAAAAAGGAGCCAAGATTGGATTATATCATCAGTTCCTGACCTAAGATCAAACAATGTCCACTTTTGAACCATCTGACAGAATTATAAACTATCATGTACACTAATCTCCATTATGCACACTCTTGGCCTCTACTGGAATACTTTGACATCACAGTTCTGATTAATCCTTGTTTATCTTACACTGGGCCTTAGTGCAGCCTTTTGTTCATCAACTATCCGAAACTAAGCTATTTCAGCAATTCTCCCTGAAAGCCAAAATTCTTGTGAGTGCCTGTCTTTTGATTGGGAATTTGGAAGTTTGTATTCGTAATCAAAGCATCCTGTGTGAGATCAAGAATATTCCCTCTGTTTTATAATACTTATATAAAAGTAATGAACTGCCTGATCCTAAGCATTTAGTGCAGCCTGAAGCCTGACTTTTTGAGGTATAGAAGTTTTCAATACTGAAATATTAGCTACCTTTGACGTGTTTATCCAACATTGTAACAGAATATATATGAAAACAAATAAGGAAACTTCCACTTCAGTGATTATAGCAAGGAACTTAAACTTCAAATTTCTTTCGTTTTTGGTGATATCATTAAAAACTGCTCATAGGATCAAACCATCATCCAATCCTTTCATTGAAGTTTAGAAATGGCACACCAACGTGTAGTAGGAGAAGAGACATTGCCTTTGGAACAAGAATTTAATTTAATTTCATATGAATGTTTCAATGAGCATTATGTAACAAGCTACCAGGCTGGAAAAAGCACTTGCAAGATCAAAAGTAAAGAAGTTGTTAAATTAATTGACTTGATTCACTGTGGTTTCAGACTAAAGGAAAACAAAAAAGAAAATACTCACAGTAGTACAGTCCTATCATAACAGTGGGAAAGCAACCAGCCACTGGTTAAAATATTGGTAACATGGCTGTATATTATATTTATTATGTTTTCCCCAAAGAGACCGCAAAGAATTTGTGCCGTTGAGCAGCATGGTAACTATGTAGAAGAAAAAAAAAACTGCACCGCTAATTGCTACACACATGAAAACAGAAAAGGAAGGCTCATTATGTGCGCACAAGTGTTTACATTTCTTTTTTTGCTGATTAAACGTTAATGTAAAAACAGAAGAAATACATAGA